CATTCGGGGCTGAGTTCGTTGTCCCCGAAGGATCCCAGAAGCTCCGACACCACGAGATCGGCGCGTTCCGGGGCCTCCCAGCGCCGCATGTCCCGGGAAATCACCGAAACTTGGGATCCCCATTCTTCCCACTGGCAGTTTTCCAGTCTAATTAGTGTTAATTAGCATTAATTAGCATTAATTGATTGATTAATGACCATTAAAACCCTCCCTGATCAATTCCGATAATTAATCAATAACTGATCAGTGATCAATAATCACTCTTGCACCCTTTATGGCCATTTTCCCCCTCTATTTTAACCCTATTTAGTGTTAATTAGCCATAACTAGTGTTAATTAGCATTAATTAGCTCATTATTGGTCATTAAAACCCATCCTGATCAATTCCGATCACAGATCAATAACCAATCAATGATCAATAACCTCCCTGACACCCTCCATGGCCATTTTTCTGCTCTTTTTGGGCCCTAATTACCCTTAATTAGTGTTAATTAGTATTAATTAGTTCATAATTAGCCATTAAAACCCTCCCGGATCGATTCCAATACCTAATCAATAACTGATCAATGATCAATAACCACCCTCACACCCTCCATGGCCATTTTTCCACTCTATTTTCACCCCAATTACCCTTAATTAGCCCTAATTAACACTAATTAACCCATTATTAATCATTAAAAATCCCCTCATTAATCAGCAATCGATTCCGATAATTAATCAATGACCGATCGATGATCAATAACCGATCAGGGATCAATAACGGCGGCTCCGGGGCCTCCCAGCGCCGCATGTCCCGGGAAATCACCGAAACTTGCGAGCCCCATTCTTCCCATTGGCAATTCTCCAGCCTAATTAGCGATAATTAGCGTTAATTAGTGTTAATTAGTTCATTATTGGTCATTAAAACCTTCCCAGATCAATTCCGATAACTAATCAATAACCGATCACTGATCAATAATCACCCTCATACATCCCCCGGCCTTTTTTCCCCTTTATTTTGACCCTTATTAGTGTTAATTAGCGGTAATTAGCAATAATTAGCTCATAATTAGTCATTAAAACCCTCCCAGATCGATTCCAATAACTAATCAATAACCAATCAATGATCAATAACCCCCCTGACACCCTCCATGGTCACTTTTCCACTCTTTTCCCACTCTAATTACCATTAATTAGCATTAATTAGCATTAATTAGCTCATTATTAGTCATTAAAGCCCTCCCAGATCGATTCCAATAACTAATCAATAACCGATCGATGATCAATAACAACTCTCACACCCTCCATGGTCACTTTTCCACTCTTTTCCCACTCTAATTGCCCTTAATTAGCCATAATTAGTGTTAATTAGTTCATTATTAGTAATTAAAACCCTCCTGGATCAATTCCGATCAGAGATCAATAACCGATCAATAATCAATAACCCCTTTGGCACCCTCCATGGCCATTTTTCCACTCTATTTTGACCCTAATTAGCGTTAATTAGCATTAATTAGCTCATTATTAGTCATTAAAACCCTCCCCGATCAATTCCAATAATTAATCAATAACCAATCAATGATCAATAATCACTCTCACACCCTCCAAGACCATTTTTCCCCGTTGTTTTGACCCTAATTAGTGTTAATTAGCCATAATTAGTATTAATTAGCATTAATTAGCAATAATTAGTTCATTATTGGTCATTAAAACCCTCCCGGATCGATTCTGATCACAGATCAATAACCGATCGATGATCAATAATCACTCTCACACCTCCAAATTCCATTTTTCTGCTCTATTTTGACCACAATTAGCATTAATTAGTGATAATTAGTATTAATTAATCGATTATTAGCCATTAAAACACTTTTCAATAGCTTAGGAATCGATTCCGATCAGAGATCAATAACCGATCAATGATCAATAACCACTCTCACACCCTCCATGGCCATTTTCCCCTTTATTTGGACCCTAATTACCTTTAATTAGCCACAATTAGCACTAATTAATCCATTAATAACCATTTAAAACCCTCCTGGATCGATTCCAATCATTAATCAATAACCGATCAATGATCAATAATCACTCTCACACCCTCCATGGCCATTTCTCTTCCCTTTTCCCGCTTTAATTACCATTAATTAGCGTTAATTAGCATTAATTAGCTCATTATTGGTCATTAAAACCCTCCCTGATCAATTCCGATCAGGGATCAATAACCGATCAATGATCAATAACCACTCTCACACATCCCCCGCCCATTTTTCCCCTTTAGTTTGACCCTAATTAGTGTTAATTAGCATTAATTAGCATTAATTAGCTCATAATTAGTCATTAAAACCCTCCCTGATCAATTCCGATCAGGGATCAATAACCGATCAATGATCAATAATCACTCTCACACCCTCCATGGCCATTTTTACCCTTTATTTTGACCCTAATTAGCGTTATTTAGCATTAATTAGCTCATTATTAGTCATTAAAACCCTCTGGGAGCGATTCCGATAATTAATCAATAACCGATCAATGATCAATAATCACTCTCACACCCTCCCTGGCCATTTTTCCGCTCTATTCCCACTCTAATTACCATTAATTAGCCCTAATTAACACTAATTAACCCATTATTAACCATTAAAAATCCCCCTCATTAATCAGGAATCGATTCCGATAATTAATCAATAACCGATCAATGATCAATAACCCCCCTGACACCCTCCATGGCCATTTGGGCCCTAATTACCCTTAATTACCCATAATTAACATCAATTAATTAATACCCATTAAAACCCTCCTGGATCAATTCCAATCATTAATCAATAATTAATCAATAACTATTGATGACAACGGCGTTGGGGCCATTATTGATCAGTTATTGATTATTGATCCGTTATTGATTTGGCATTTTTTTGATCCCAAATCGATCCTGATCGGTTCCCAATCAATAATTAATCAATAATTACCGATCCCTCACGTGATGACGGCATTGGGGCCATTATTGATCAGTTATTGATTATTGATCGGTTATTGATTTGGGGTTTTCTTCGCTCCTATTGATCCTAAATCGATCCCACTTGATTCCCAATCACTCCTAATCAATAATTATTGATCCCTCACGTGACCACAGCGTTGGAGTCGCTATTGATCATTTATTGATCACTATTGATTATTGATTGGCTCTTGATTTGGGGTTTTTTCGCTCCTATTGATCCCAAATCGATCCTGATCGGTTCCCAATCAATAATTAATCGATAATTATCGATCAGACTCACGTGACGACGGCGTTGGGGTTTTTCTCCACGGCGTAAATTCGCACCCGAACCCCGAACTGACGCGCGGCCCTGAGGACAGCGGTGACCAGGGGACCCCGCCCAGCGCCCAGGACCATCACAACCCTGGAAAATGGGAAAAATGACCCAAAATTACCCCAAAATCAGCTCCAGGACCCCAGAAAACCCCAAAAACCGCCCGAAAATTCACAAAAATCACCGAAAAACACCAAAAAATGACCCCAAATCCCCTGAGCACAGCGGTGACCAGGGGACCCCGCCCGGCGCCCAGAACCATCACAACCCTGGAAAAAACCCAAAAATCAGCAAAATCACCCCAAAAAATGGGATCAGCGACCAAAAAAACCCCAAAAACCACCCCGAAATACCCAAAAATGACCCAAAATGACCCCAAAATCCCCTGAGCACAGCGGTGACCAGCGGACCCCGCCCGGTGCCCAGAACCATCACAACCCTGGAAAAATGGGGAAAAAATGGGGAAAATGACCCAAAAATCAGATCCAGGACCCCAAAAAACATCAAAATCACCCCAAAAAACCCCAAAAACCGCCCAAAATTCACAAAAATGACCCAAAAATGACCCCAAAAAAACCCAAAAAATGACCAAAAAATGGCACAAAAAATGACCCAAAAATCCCCAAAAAGGACCCAAAAATGTCCCAAAAAGCACCAAAAACCGCCCCGAAATACCCCAAAAATAACCCAAAAATCACCCAAAATGAATGACCCAAAATTGATCAAAATCACCCCAAAAAATGAGATTGGGACCTCAAAAAAAACCCCAAAACAGCTCCAAAATACCCAAAAAACACCAAAAAATAACTCAAAAAAGACAAAAAAATCATCAAAAAATGTCCCAAAATAACCCCAAAAAGACCCAAAATGAGTGACCCAAAAATCATCAAAATCACCCCAAAAAATCCCAAAAACGACCCAAAAAAATGCTGAAAAATGACCAAAAATGGGAAAAAAATGACCCAAAATCCCCTGAGCTCAGCGGTGACCAGCGGACCCCGCCCGGCGCCCAGGACCATCACAACCCTGGAAAAAATAACAAAAATTACCCAAAAACGGAAAAAATGACCCAAAATTCAACTCCAGGACCCCAAAAAACCCCCAAAACCACCCGAAAATTCACAAAAATCACCGAAAAACCCCAAAAAATGACCCCAAATCCCCTGAGCACAGCGGTGACCAGGGGACCCCGCCCGGCGCCCAGAACCATCACAACCCTGGAAAATGATAAAAAATGGGGAAAATGACCCAAAATTCAGCAAAATCACCCCAAAAATGGGATCTGGACCCCAAAAAACCCCAAAAATGACACAAAAAACCCCAAAAAAGACCCAAAAATGACCCAAAAATGACAAAAAAACACCAAAAAACAATCAAAAAAACCCAAAAAAAGACCCAAAAATGGCAGAGAAATGACCCAAAAAATCCCAAAAATGACCCAACAAACCCCCAAAACTGCCCCAAAATACCCAAAAATGACCCAAAATGACCCGAAAAATGGCCCAAAAATGACACAAAATGACACAAAATGAATGACCCAAAAATCAGCTCCAGAACCCCAAAAAACATCAAAATCACCCCAATAAAATGGGATTGGGACCCCAAAAAAACCCAAAAATGACCCAAAAATCATTAAAAAACACCAAAAAATGACCCAAAATGACCCAAAAAATGCCCCGAACATACCCAAAAATGACCCAAAACGAATGACCCAAAAATTATCAAAATCACCCCAAAAAATCCCAAAAATGACCAAAAAAATACTGAAAAATGACCCAAAATGACCCAAAAATGACCCAAAAATGACCCCAAAATCCCCTGAGCACAGCGGTGACCAAGGGACCCCGCCCGGCGCCCAGAACCATCACAACCCTGGAAAAAACCCCAAAATTACCCAAAATTCAGCAAAATCACCCAAAAAAATGGGATCGGGACCCCAAAAAACCCAAAAAACCCCCAAAATGACCCAAAAATCAAAAAAAAACCACCTAAAATCACCCCAAACTACCCCAAAAATGACCAAAAAATAACCCCAAAATCACCCAAAAATCACCCAAAAAACCTAAAAAATGACCCCAAAAATGACTCAAAATGACCCAAAAAACCACGAAAAAAT